TATTATTTTATATTGTTTTCCCGGTGTGTACCGTGAAGCCGCACCCCCCCTGTAGTTCCACTGCCCCCCCACCACCACTGCTGTATAAGATTTCAGTAATGTGTTTGTGACTTTGAGGTTTGACCCTGAGAAGAGAGGGGTGTGAAGCGCATCGAGGAGTGCGATACTCACATCGGAGCCGTAGCTGATCGCCAGGGTCTTCAGGGCCCAGGGGAGGCCAAGCCCCACTAAGATGTCAAACACGTTGCTGCCAATGGAGTTGGACACGGCCATGTCTCCCATTCCTGGACGGACGGACAGAGACGGTGGTGTGAGGAAATGTAGAGAACGGATAAGAAAGGGACAGAGAGATGGCATCAAGGGAAAAGTTAGTGGGCAACGAGGAGACAGGAAGTTACACAGAGTTGTGTGTGTGTGGGGGGGGGGGGGGGTTTGCCACAGATTTGGAAAGAGGTAGGTTGACATAGGCGAAATCAGTGGAGCTATCTGTCCGACTGACATCCCGCGGAAACGATGAAGCAACAGCAGCTACAAAGCAGAGGACGGACGACTAAACTGCCCCCCCCCCCCCAGACAGACAGGGCCGTTTAATATTTGATGACAGGAGCAAGAATAAACACAGATGAAAAGGATGGAGGTAGGGACCCTGTCGGGCTGTCTTCCCTCATCACCCTTTCTTTTAAAGCCTCACCACAGGAACAGAAGAGGGACATTGGAAAAAGATGACACCCCCCCACCCACCCACCAATCTCTATCTCCCTCATCTCCTCCCCTCTCCTATTGGCTCTTTGATAGTGGCTTCACTTTGATGCTGTTGTTTGGCTTCCATCGGGGCCGTAGGTGTGTGTGTGTGTGTGTGTGTGTGTGTGTGTGTGTGTGTGTGTTAAATAACAGCTTGGTAACCTGTCATCTTGTGTGTGTGATTACCTTGTCGTGCCACTATTAGGCTGGCCATGCAATCAGGGACGCTGGTGCCGGCCGCCAGGAAGGTAATTCCCATGATGACATCTGGGATGCCGAGTGTGAAGCCTATCACTGTTACCTGACAGATGGACACAGACGAAGACTATTACTGCTTGTATCTTTGGCAATTGTGCGTGTGTGTGTTTTTTAACTACTGGGGAGAAAGAAATGAAAAAGAGACAGCTTTAGATGGGTTTGGAACAGAAAATACTGTTCAAAACAACACAAAATATTCAATAATAATACTTTATCATATTAACGATTGATATGTGGAGTAAAGATGCACCTCATCTATGAACCCACACAGAATTATCACCTGCAGTTCCCGTCAGCTCTACAAGATTTTGCTCTCATCAAACTTATTTCCAGCAGCAGCCAGAAGCTGTTCGGAAAAACCAAATGTACACCACCTCGCCATCACCAATAACAGGTGACCTGTGGAGGTTTTCTTTGAAACAAATAAAAGTTGCATTTAAATTCAACGTAACACATCATGACGCATTGTGTGTACCCTTGGGGTCAAGTGCATGTCCTTACTTATAACGTAGTTGCACGGTAAAAAAAAAACAAGTATTTTGAATCCATATTTGTTAACATCCAGCTTTTCCCGCATGCTGCCTTTTTATTGTGGCTTCTTCTTCCTACGTCCTACTACCTTTTTCTAGCCTACACTGATAAATTAAGACAATTAGCATGGATGTTTTTGGATTAAGAATAAAAAACTGTTTCTGACCGTATTTAAAGTCATGGACTTTAATATTTATTTACAGACTTGGTTTATTCTAAGGAGAATAGCATGAAGTGACCGAATGAGTAACATGGGTCATTACAGAGCGAGTGTGATGTGATTGTGATGTGATTTTTGAATAAAGCAACTATGTGTATTACTGTTTTCAGGTTTCCTGCGATTTATTAGGGACGGAGCACCGACGTAGTCGGAGCGGAGGACCTATTGTTCTTCAAATGTTTATTAGGGCCTAAGCACCGACAACGTCGGGCCAGCGAAGGCCATTTTGAATTTTATGAAAAACAAATTTTTGCAAACTCCTCCTACACACTAGGTCCGATTGTTACCAAATTTGCTGTGGATCATTAGTGGATTAATATCATGTAAAGTCATTAAAAACTTGTTGATACCTCATTGCGTTTGGAAGATATGGACCAATAAACTTCTTAGGGGCATGGCTTGTATATCAATACACATAACATCAAAACCATTTGTCCAAAAATCATTAAATTTGCTACATATGTGCACATTGCATCCTGGAACATACCTTGCAATTTTAATTCCATTCAACCACTAGGTGCTACAGTAATTCACCCCATTCACTTTTTCAGCCTTTGTACTTTAACAAACTCCTACAGAATTAATGGGATCGACCTCAAATTTGGTAAGGATGCTCTTAAGATCTATGTGATCTATGTGAAAATTATTAAATTCGTGAGTTTTCATGGAAGGACCTTGACGTGGCGTGGTGGCCATTTTGCACCATTAGCAATGAAACAGGAAGTTGTTATAACTCCAAGGTACATTATCCAATCTGAACAAAATGCATGATGCTACTTCAAGCCTGAGCATATTTCAATGCAAAGATTTTCACATAGTCATAGCGCCACCTACTGGCAAAAGGAAAAGTCACATTTTATTATTTTATTTACTCCTAGCCAGTTGAACTGATCAGTCTCAAATTTGGCAAGGATAGCCTTAACACATTGAAGATGCTTCACCATGAATATTGTGAGTTTTCAATGAACGCTGTTGCCATTGCAACGCATCATTTGCCATGAAAAAGGAAGCTGACGGTTGAGTGGCTTGGGATGCTCAAAAACTCATGGAACTTTGTACATGTGTCATAGGTCATAGAAAGACATAATGTGGTTCACACTTGATATAGAGCAACACAATGCATGTTATTTTTATTCAACCATATGATATAGCGCACTATCTTTACAACTTGTTTGTAATTGTATTTGTTATTTTATTTTATATTGTTTTACTGGTGTGTCACACAGCAGATACAAGAAGCGGTGGACTACTTGCAAAGCATCATTTCCAGCGTCACGCGGGAAAAAAACATTGGACTTGTGGATGCGTTGTCAGACGGTCGCAGAAGTTCTCAGCCGCGTAAGTCCCGCCAGCACCCCCGACGTGTGGAAGGATGCAAGGGCCCTTTCATCGCTGCTCGCAGCTTTAATTAGGGCCCGAGCAACCGACGTCGGGCCAGCGAAGGCCCTATTGAAAGACGTTCTCAGCCGCGTAAGTCGGGGTCCCGCCAGCACCTCCGACGTGCGGGAGGATGCAAGGGCCCAGTCATCGCTGCTCGCAGCTTTAATTAGGGCCAGAGCAACCGGCAACGTCGGGCCAGCGAAGGCCCGATTGAAATTCCAATGTTTCTTATTATTAGGGCCCGAGCAACCGACAACGTCGGGCCAGCGAAGGCCCTATTGAAATTGTAAGGATTATTAGGGCCCGAGCACCGACGTAGTCGGAGCGGAGGACCGATTGTTATTCTAATGTTTATTATTATTATCGTGGGTCTTTCATTGCGAAACATTTTGTAGGTATGTGTAACTTGATGGGCCATACAAAAGATCCTCTTGGAAGTATGCCCTAAACCAAACAGGAAGTTGGCCATTTTCAATTTTATGATGTTTTTTGACCATTTCAATCCTTCGTACTTTAACGAACTCCTTCTAGAGATTTCACCTGATTGACTTCAGATTTGGTCAGTACGCTCTTGAGACCATGTCGGTAAAAACTTACTCAAAGATCAAAAAGTTATCGAACTATGTATCCGTGGCGTGGTGGCAAAAATAGACCATTCGCCACGAAAGAGGAATTTGTTGTAACTTGGCCGTACATTGTCTAATCTACTCCAGATTTCTCATATGTCATAACATCCTGACCTTGAACACATCTATATGACAATTTAGAATCATAGTAATAGCGCCACCTAGTGGTAACATGAAGTTATATGTTGTGTACTTTGACATCCTGCTCCTCACAGATTAATCAGATCCCTCAAATTTTGTCAGAAAAGCCTTAAAACCTTGATAATGCTTCATTGTGAAGATTGTAAGAATTTGTTCAAGGGCGGCGATGTGGCGGCTTAACATAAGTAAACTTGGCACACAGATTTAAAGTGCAAAATTTAGTTGCATATTATGGTTTTAATGCTTCAGAATGGCAAGTCGGCTCGATAGCGCCCCCTACAAAATTTCCATGAAGCAGTCCTCGCAGTATGTTTCACATAGATTTACAAAACTTGGTAGGCATGTATCACATTTAGACTTAAAAAAAAGTCTTATGGGGCCATGCTCTAAACCAGGGGTCAGCAACCTTTACTATCCAAAGAGCCATTTTGCCCTATTTTCCACCAAATAAAATTCGTCTGGAGCCGCAAAATTATTTATTTGATATCACAGCTTATAAAGTTGTATATATAGTTATATTATATATACAAAAACTAGTTTGTCATATTTATGAAATATAGAACAAGAATAACGACAATTCTTGACATTTTTTTGCAATTTTACCTGATATAACAATATCAAACTCTTATGAAGAGCTCAGTTTGCTGCAGCAGCTGAGAATTCGCTCTTTTTCGCTCATCTCCAGCGTGACACTTTTCAGCACATGCTGTGTGCTTGTTCTGGAAGCATACATGTAAACCAGCATCGTTGGCAGTGAAAGCAATTGAATACGTCCACGCAGAGTTAAACTCTCTATTTTCCTCCGTGAATTTTCTTTTTTTGGATTTATCCATTGATAGTTTACAGAGGGCGGGGGTCTGAAAATCATGATTAGCCACCTGCAGGGAAAAGCACTTGACAGGGGTAGAGGATTTAACTGCCTGTGGGAATAATTAACATATAAGATTCTGTTCATTCTTGCTTATAAATTATATTCTCTCTGAACACGTTTCTCTTTTTGGAGAACGTCATGTGAGATAACTTCTTCGATTAGCGCAATTCTCCTGCTCTTCTTTCTATTTCCTCGTCTCAGTCACGTGTGTCACGGTGTGTGTAAACCTCGCTCGAGTCAGGAAACTTGTCAGAATACCCATATTTGATTGGCTGAGCTGCATCACGTGATGTGATTTGCAATGCATTGGTCGGTGTGTTTCCTGCACCGCCGAACAAGTGCCGTAACGGCTGAATAAGAAGCGCCGGTTAAATTTTAGACTCGGTGCCTAATATGTAAAATTCCGAATTATCTATCGGTTGTAGGTCCTGAGTCCAGATCCGGTGCGCCAGTTGGGGACCACTGATATAGACTCAGGGAGCCGCAACAGAGAGACTAAAGAGCCACATGCGGCTCGCGAGCCGCAGGTTGCCAACCCCTGCTCTAAACCCAACCAGAAGTCAGCCATTTTGAATTTTGTATGAATTTCTATTTTCGTTTTTGCCATTTCCAGGCACTGTACTTTAACAAACTCCTCCAAGAGAATTAATCAGATCAACTTCAAATTTGGTCAGTTCAGACCTTTGTGATGAAAGCTTACTCGAAGTTGAAAGGCCATTGCCGTGGCGACGCATTCTTCGCCATAAAAAACGAAGGTGTTTTTGAGGGGCTAAACATGCTCCAACCAGAACCAAACATGGCACACACATTTAAAATCCTGAATGTAGTTATCTGATGTGATTTTAATGTTTCAGAGTGGCAAGTTGGCTTGATAGCACCCCCTACAAGATTTCGACGATGCAGCCCTCGCAGTACGTTTCACCTAGATATATAAAATTGGGTAAGCAGATGTATCACATGTAGACTTAAAAGTCTTATGGGGCCATGCTGTAAACCCAACAGGAAGTCAGCCATTTTGAATTTTGTATTTGTATCAGCCATTGTTTTTTTTGCCATTTCAAGGCGTCATACTTTAACGAACTCCTTGAGATTTGACACGATTGACTTCAGATTCGGTCAGATCAATCTAAAGACCTCAGTGATTAAAAGTTACTAAAAGCTTGAGGTTTCATCGAACAACATGGACTTGGTGTGGCAGCCATTTTACATGGTTCGCCATCATCCATCAAGCTGTTGTAACTCGACTGTCCTTTGTCAAGACTGTCCCAAACTTGACATTCTTGATGACTGTCATGACTTTAGGACTTCTGCATGCCAATATTAACTCATAGTCATAGCGCCACCTACTGATAACCACGGACGTAAGCAGGATTCTATAATTACAGTGGCCCAAACACTGAACTTATTGAAAGGGTTTGTGGGCACACCATGAGAAAAAGACTTCTCTGATCTAAATATGTGCAAACTAAGATGTTTGGAGAGCAGAAATTGGATGAAAAAGGTTTCCACATCGCGCTTGTACGTGGAGTTTTCATTAATCGTAAATTGAATTGTTTTTGTTCGTTTTGGAACAGGCCATAATGTAAAGTAATTTCATGCAACGTGAAGTTTGTTTAATAAAATCAAACTGCACCCAGACTAATTTGTATGATAGATTATTCTACATTGGCTCACCGTTTGGCTTAAACTTATTTCTTTACAAAAATATGTTTTTTTTCCCACATGGAACTATACATTCTCCTATTTCTCCTCGACCATTCCAGCTTTGAGTCACTCAGCAGGGATTGTCAGAGGTACCTGCACAAACAAACGACCTGCATTTACTTTGACAGTCTGTTATGTTACTAACACTGAAGCGCATTCACACACATTCAGTTTTTTGTCGATTTTCACAGGCTTACATTTATGATTGTATACTCAAAAGATTTGAGGCTTAATTGAGGCAAACTGACCTGGCTACGCCATTAGTCGACACAGGAAATATCGTTTAACTCGTGCAGCAGTGTATGATGGTAACAGAAATGCATGGCCGCATCAACCACAGTCTTGCCAGTACCCTCGACGTGCGTGAAGATGCGAGGGCCTGATCAATGCTGTTTGCAGCTTTAATTATAATAAATATTGCTCCGATGCAGAGATTTTGAGGTGATATCATAACCAATGTTGATATGTCAACGTTGTATTTTCAGCTTGTTCCACCACCCCAAAAGTGACAAAATGATCAGTTAAAGCAACTTTAAAACTACTTTGCTCAGTAGAGTGCTAATACATTAGCAATGTCAAAGCCAGCACACATTTGAAACATAACAGGATTGAAAAGTTTGTATCGCTAACCTGTTAGCAAACCATCGCCAATTTACACATGAGCAGTCATGGAGCAGCATTAGCATTCTTTTGTTCCTGGTCTTCAACTCTGGAGGAAAATATCTGTCTCGTTAGCCGTTAAATGCTCCGCTGTGTTCACTAGCTAGTCGCTAACTGTGTCTGTCTGCTCTTTGATGCTGAGCAGCTGGAGTGCAGTGTGGTTTTATAGCTTTGTCACTGAAAAACAGCTAATGTTACAAAATCGAATCAAAACAATGAGCTAAAACGTGATAGCTCTATGAGCCAATATCTGCAGCTAATGTCTACTAGCTAATGACAATTCTTTGTTTGTATGGCAAAACTTGATCAATTTCACATGTTAAAGGTGTTGTTGGATTTTGGGGATCTATTCGCAGAAATGGAATATAATATTCATAACTGTTTTCATTAGTGTATCAACAACTGAAACTAGGAATCGTATTTTTGTTAGCTTAGAATGAGCCCTTCATATCTACTAGTGGAGCAGAGTGTGTGCCATGTTGCACCGCCGTGTTTCTACAGTAGCCCAGAACAAACCAAACACTGGCTCTAGAGAGGGCCTTTTTGTGTTTTTAAGTTAGCCAAAGGCCGCTGTAGTTATCCGACACACTTGGAAAGATTGGAAGCAATCTGCAACCACACCAATAGATACCACTAAATCCTACACACTGCTCCTTTAACTGCTACACGAGACATTAAAAGATTTAACACGTATGTAAATGTTTTAAATCACAAAGGCTATGGCAGAAAAGTATATCATTGAGATTTGTTTTTTTTTAATCTATATCTCTGCCAGTTCGCCTTCTCTCTCTTTTTTGTCTCCCAGTCTCTCACCATCCAGACCATGACGTAGGAGAAGGCGGCGATCCACAGGGTGGAGCAGGCGAAGGACAGCATGAAGTAGTTGTCCCAGCGAGACGTGGAGCTGTTGGGGACGGTGAAGTACAGCAGCAGGCACAGAGGCCAGGCCAGCAGCCACTTCAGCTTGTTACACACACCGGCTGCAAACACACCAAATACAGGGTCAAGAGTGTGTAGTAGAACTACCATGAGAAAAAAGCCAAGGGTGGGTTTAAGTGCAATCCACATGTTTACATATTACATTGGTAAAGGGGGGGTGGGGACCATCTTGTGCTGGGCACGAGCAAGACACATGGCAGGGCTCTGCAAAACTGTACCGTACACAGACTATATAAGAAGTGGACGTAGTCATGGTGACGTCACTCATTGGTTTGTGGTCTGATGTTTTGAAGCTTCGAGTTCAGTGGTTTCACCGTCATCATCTTGGATTACGGCCGTCGCCATGTTGTTTTTTGCAGTCAATAAACAGAAGTGACCATATTTGGACTGAGGAGGAGTGACGTAGAGACGCCGTATAAATCTCTGGCAGTGACCTGTCAATCACTGTAGCCCCGCCCTAAAGCATCCCCTGCTTTATGGTCTGTTTGACTCTAAATGGACCATCATTTACTAAATGAACATCATGCTGTATTGAAGAAGACTTGAAACTAGAGATTGAGACCATAAACTCATGTTTACAATGTTTACTGAGGTAATAAATCAAGAGAGAAGTAGTCATTTTCTCATAGACTTCTATACAACCAGAGGAGTCGCCCCCTGGTGGACACTAGAGAGAATGCAGGTTTAAGACACTTCTTCATTGAAGATGTCAATGCAGTTGCATGCAGCGTTGCTACGGTGATCATCTGAGAATCCCACCTACTGTACAGTGAGGGGTTACTATCTGCAGTAGAAATACTGCAAAGAGAAAATAACCTGGTACCAAAAGTGAGTCGAGTCGAGTCAAACCGTGCAGTGAAAATGAAGTATTATTAACATGTAAACATAAAGATATATGTAAAAACTATCATTTGTGGTTTTGGTGCGGGTTACGTGCTGGTACCATTTTTCTTGCAGTGTGTGTGTGTGTGTGTGTGTGTGTGTGTGTGTGTGTGTGTGTGTGAGAGAGTGTGCAGCAAAAAGTGACAGGAAATAAATCATTTCAATAACACATCCCACACAGACCCTTCTCCAGCAGGTACCTGGGCACTGGAAGGGCAATAAGGGTCCCCCTCTATCCTCCTCTTCTTCTTCCTCGTCATTCTCGTTGTTCTCGTTGTCTTCGTTCTCCGTCTCGTTGCCCGCCTCCCGGTCATCACGGCGAACGCCTCCGCCCCTCTCAGCCCCGGACAGCCCGTTTTCTACACCCCGCCTACTTCCTCCTTTGACTGGAACGTCGGAGTCGCCGTTGGTCAGAGTGCGTGTGTTGATTAGTCGCTGTCTCTGTGTCACGCAGGCACACGCACGCACACACACACACAGAATGAAATACAAGTGTATCGATAGAACTAGTCTGTTTCCTATTTACACAGCAGCTTCATTTGTTCATATGAAACTGAGAATTGGATGACATATCAATATATTTACTGGGAATTTCTTTCTGCTTTTACAGTCAGTATTTGTTTTAAATCAGTTTAAATCAAACTGAAAGCACAAAACAATCATCGCTTTGTTGACATTTGAAGGTGACTTTTTAAGCTATTTGATAGGTCAGTCAGCAAGCATAAGTGCAGGACGATTTGTGTGTCTTAGTTTAAAGATAAGAAGGAGACTAGTTATGAGCTCATGTGGGTATAATAAATAGTGTTATAACAAGCTGTAGTAGAGTGAAAGTTTAATTTCACCGGCTATTATGACAACCGTCATATCCACTCAGCTATGTGTCGGTGTAATTTAATGCTCAGCAAAATATTGTTTGCAATAGAAAAAACACCACTCTATGATTTCATAATGACCGACAGAGTGGTGAGTCATTTCAGACAGGCCGCTTAGCAGTGCAGAGTGTAAATGATCTCCTTTAATCTATTAATCACATAATTTCATTGTTTTTAAGCGTTGAGACATCCAAAGTCGGAGGCTTTCCTGTCTGTACGTTAGCTTAAGCTAAACATTGTCGAACGTGAATCGTGGTTTGTCATCATCACATTTAACCGGCAAAGTACGCAGCTGTTCATGCCAACATGTTTAACGTAGAATAATTTGATCTTCTCTACGTAGACAGAGAAAGAACTGCACTCTGGCAATGAAACCAAAATATCATTTTTTTTTCATTTTAGGGAACTTTTTACTCAAAATACAGCACAGGACCGGTAGAAAGTAGAGCACGGTGGAATTTACACACGTAGTTTTATGACATATGACAGAGAGAAGACAAAAAACAAAATATTTAGAAACATTTGTACTCGACCAAAAACATTCTTAGTTGATTTTTACACATCTGTAAAACTGAGTTTCTCCACAAAGAATGGCACAAAAGCACCTCTTTAAATCTTGAGTTTACCAAATATGTGCTCAGAAGTTTCTTAGAAATAAGTCATTCAGGATGAGAAATTATATAAAAAAATTAAGAAATCTTTGTATATTGAGACTAAAATAAGGAGAGACTGAGAGAAGGTCCTGTAACTTGATGCAGTTTTGGAGCACATCTAAGTAACCAAATATGTCTAGTCAATGTTTTGTTAGGAACAGACAATTTAATTTAAAAATGTTTGTGTATGCCGTTGATAATAGTTTTTAGAAAGAAAGAAAATTTGAATCGGCAGGTCAGACAACTTCCAAAAATTGGAAATTGTGAAGAAAATCACGATCAGAAGGAATTGAGGAATAAGATGCTGTTATATTTTTCTACACCATGTCTAAAAAAAGAAACACACATTGCCTGGAAGCTTCAATGGTGGATCTGGTTTCTCGGCTGGGGGCCTTCTTAAAGAGGTTGTCTGAAACACACTGCGGTCTACCCATGTGTGTGTGTGTGTGTGTATCCTGACCTCAGTGATGAGCATCCGCGAGGCCATGGTGAGGCGGGTTCTCGGGGAGAAGTGACTGGTGATCATGATCCTCATGCCGGCCTCGGAGAAGGACAGCTGGTGGGGGTACGCCGACAGCAGCTCGTCCACCATCAGCACCGACGGCTTCCTGTGGTGGTTTGCTGTAGGACACACACACACACATACACGCAGGGTTTTGGACATGATTTTAGCTTGATTTAAGGCATGACCATCAGGGGACCTCCAAAATGTCCCCTGTTGGGGACACCGTCCCCTGTTAGAGACTGTGTAACGACGCCTAAGCCCACTGTTAGATAGGTAGGCTAGTGCACACACACACACACACACGCATGCAACCACATGTATGCACTGATGA